CGCACCAGCCTCTAGCTGCGGCTCGGCCCTCCCGGCCCCCCGCCTCGCCCGCAGGGAGGCTGCCGGGGGCGCCTCCTCCTCCTCGGAGCTGCTCACTTAGCGCTCCTAGTACGAGCTGGTGTGTGTGACGCGTGTCTGCGTGCTGACTCTGTTAGCACAGGTAAAACCGGGGAAGGGTGTTTCTCTAAATAAACATCTCGCAAGCATGTTTCACTGTTATGTGAAAATACTTTTCCCCTACCCCAAGATCTCCCCTAAAATGTGCTTCCCGGCTCAGTGCTGATAAAACAAGGTCTAATAAACACCTATTCCTTTCTCCGGAGAGAGTGAGCATGCGGTCGGAGGGTGATGTCTTGCAGCGATCCCGGCCCTGCTGCGGCATTTCAGCTCCCCGCGCCTACAGTCCGGCTGAGGACCACACATGTACTTAGTCCCACTGGCATCCGATTACACTTTCGTTAAAAAAAAAAAGCATTTGGGCAATTGTTAACATTTTTCCAGAACAGCTTTGCTATTAGGTTATGTGCCTCTTGACAAAACATCTGTCTTCCTTTTCTTCATTTGCACACTGGGAGGAACATGGGAGCTCACCAGAAGTTAGCTTGACAGGGAATTTGGATAATTAATGTACCTGATAATCTATAAAGCATTTGATCACTGAGAATTATTACAGTGCCTGTCTTGAACATACCCAATTAGATTTTGAACAAGGTTTGCTGGCACATAACTTCTTTACCAGCCAGCTAGTGATTAGCATTGCCAATAGAAGTTTTCTTAGAAGGCCAATGGAGGCATATTGAAGTAAAATACTTGCATAAAATAATTAACATCCGTCTTCCCTGTAGTCCAATCAAGCCATACCAGGTGAATCAGGAATATTGCAACAGATGGCTGTATCATTAAGTTATAAATGTATAGCAATGAAGTACTAAATTGACTGCAAGTTGTAAAGTAGCAAAGGTGAGGTCAATTCACCAATTTTAGTTGGGGGTCTTACATGCAGCTGATGTATGTTTTGCTATCTGCTTATTATTTTGGCAAGAGCCTCATGTTAAAAAAAAAAAAAAAAAACACATGAGGTTAACAGTTCCCTTTATTTTCCCTACATAAAGATGTCTGAAAGAATATAGAAATTCTTGAAAAAAATTGTAATTCCCAAAGTCTGTTATAATCTGGAAAAAAATGCTAACTGTTCCATCACTTCTAAAAATAGTTATCTTTAGGTTTATCATTTCCTATCCAAAACTAAATTGAATTACTAAGCTATTTCATATTATTTTATCCAGCTGAGTAACTGAATTTACGTTGTCTGGTTGTGTTGTTGTAAATATGAAACAGGAAGGAAAATAATAAACTTGGAATACCACAGACAAATTAAGAGATACTGCCAGTGTGGCAGTCAACCAAGATTTACATGATCAAGGGTTCTACATGAACCTTTCTATTGATAAACACTGAAACCTGAGGAAGGAGGCAAAGAACAAGCAAAAGAGCATCAATAACAGCCTATTCAGCACAGCTGTCCCACGCACGGGGGCTTCTGTGCCATCTGAACCTCTGCCTCGGGGACAGAGGCTGCCCATATACCTATCACATGAAGATCTTTATATGCTGCTTGTAAGAAGTGGGAGGCTGGCTAATCAGGGTAATTTCCTCAAGCATCCTTTTGCAAAAAACTCTAGAACATTGTTGTATAAAGCCTACCACCTTGCCAGTAAAAACTTATTAAGTTGCTTTACCAGGTCTTCAGGAAGAATGCATGCTGTGTGGGTACAACCTTTTAAGATTTAGAACCTGTTTTATGGAGACACTTGAAGTTTCTTGATCTGTAAGCAGTTCTAAGTAAAGACAAGTGAGTGGATTGAAATATAGACCTTTGGTAACATTTTAACTTGTTCCTGTTTATTTAAAAGAAATAACTGACTGGATTATTCAATCTACAACAGCACATCATGATGAAATTTTCCAATGCTATGGCCTAGCAAGAACTCTGATATGAAAAGGCTAATACACAGTGAAGGTCTTCAGTGTTCCTTATAAGAGCAGTTATGCAATATAAAGCCAATTAGAATATTTTTGAATCTGAAATTCATTAAAGATTTCAAGTTCATACAGTGGAGGAGACTTGCAATGTCCCCAGATCAGCAGCATGAGCTGAGGTAATAACAATATAGTTTAAATTACTCTTTGGGATTCTCATAATATCCTGCCTTTTATCCTTCATACAGCATAGCAAGGTTTTTAAAATGAAGACTGTTTTGATTTTGTACGTTTTTATGATCCTACACATACATTGTTAACACTAAGCAAACGCAGACTGACAGTTCAAAAAAAGAAGGCATGAATACATTAAGTGTCCAGTGATCTCAAACAACATTTACATCTTTCAGGTAAAATAAATTAACAGAAAAAGAAAAAATATTAATATTAAATAGCAGGCAGGCACATGAGGAGAATGACTCTTCCAAAGCACAAAATGGTGAATCTGTAGAAGTCTACATAGCACCACACAATCACATACATCTGTAAACTTATTTAATGGTTACTGGGTCAAAGATCAACATAAACTAGAACTATCTTTCATTTCTAGCATGCAGATAAGTGTTTTCAATTATTCACATGAACACCAGCAGAGTCATTTAGAGTTTATTGAACAGTGTGCAGCAGTGCTCCATCAGCCCTTTCAACCCCAGCACCAGCCAGGCAGCTAGTGACCACCTGCTGCTGCTGGAGCAGCTTGCAGTCCTCTTGCAGCACAGGCAGGCAACCCCATCCCTTCCTTGGGAACCCAGGTGACACATGCTAGATCCTCTGGGAGGCTAAGCTGACATCAATAACACAGAATCAGTTGAAGTGGCATTACAATAAAGCAGAAAGAGGGAATTCCAGAAGAAAGGGTTTCACAAGAGCAGACAACAGCAGAAGATAAAGACAGGTAAAGAATGGAAAGAATATCAGGATGAGGGAAAGATGGATTAAGCTTTCATGGCTAGACAGCAGACTTTGAGGCAGAGATACCATTTGGCCCTTTATTTAGTGCTCAACAGGCTTCAGGACACCATGTGTTGTCTTCATGATTTGGAAACCCTCCATTGCTAAGCGCACTTGGTGCACACAAGAGAACTTGGCAGGAATGCAGCGCCCACACCAGTCAGGCTCTGTATCCCTGAAAAGACAAGAGCTCATTAGGACTGAGCCTAGAGCAGACATTCCAGTTTGGTTTCATGGTAAATAAATGGTAAACCATCAGGGGATTTGCCTAAACAACCCAGTATGGCTCTGATTTAGCATGCCAATGTAGTAATTCCATTTAGCTACCCAATGCTGTGTTTTCCTAAAGGGAGGCATTACTCTAAAAAAATTTGCTGGGGAATGGAGAGCCACTTGCCTATCTCAACAAAAATCAATGGGAGTCATACTGGGACTTACACAGCTACAATCAAATTAGGAAAAGATTCATAAAACATATATCTAGAAATATGCACTTCATGGTTATTTAGGAAAAAGATATTCCTGGATCAATAATCCCATACCCACACATATAGGAAGGACTTGAACTGTAAAGCAACACTCTAAGCAAAAAGGAATTAGGATTCTGCTAATATAATTACTATGCTTTACAACTGCAAGGATTTGACAATAAGTGTTTTAAGATTTTTATTATGGGACGTTCTCACAGATCATAGGGTCTTCTAGCTTCCCAATCACAACAAATATTTGGAGATGTGAGTAGCTACTTCATTAAAGAAATCTTAATCATAAATCTAATTTTCTTTTAAGACAGATAGATACTTGCAAAGCCAAAGTGCAATAAATTACGAAGAGGCATTATTCTCCTGAGCAACTGAAAAGGAAAAAGACTCCTGTAGCCAACAGACATAAAAGGAGCACATTAAATTACTAAAATGCTTTGCTTCAGTTGCAAGCCAGCCACTAGAGGTCAGTGGTTTGGAATAAAATTAGTACATGGAAGAATAATTCCATTTCATTTCAAATGACCAAATCATATCATGAAATAAAATTTCCAGCCTTTGAGTAAGGAAAAGTAATTCTGAAGGTTAGCAGCACTCATCTTCATTTTAAAGTAGAAAGCTAGTTTAAAATTCTTAAAAACAATACTAGGTATGTAATACATTGATACAACTATTCTTATGCTCTACCGTAGCATCCAGACATACAAACGTAACGGAACTGGAAGAAGCTTCCTCCATCATCAGGTCCAGACTCCTGCTACTCCACCTGTCCTACAGTCTCACATGAACAAAGCAAGGATCAGTTTAAAAGCAGCTTGATTCTTCTGCTTGCAAGAAAATTTGATTATAAGAATGTGAAATTAGCTTGACTAGTACTTTTTAACTGGACAACAGCAGCACCTATGCAGTGCAAAAATCTTCTTCCCTTACAGATGTGTAACACCACAAAGAGAGAAGGCTGACAGAGGGCAGGAAGAGGCTTTTTAATCATAACAAGCAAAGGATTAACATATCCAAATGGCAAAAGACCTCAAAATATTGTGCTTTAGTCATTTATCTGCTGCTGTTAGTATACATACCCACCATCAATCCACAGCACATACACACTGATGCAAGTAAGCATCTTGCTACCTTTGCCCCAGAGTGATGTTAAAACATTTGAAAATTAAAAATGTGAATAGAACTGAATGCTCAAACACATACTGAACTAATGCTTGATGCTATAAGTGTAGTTTTTAAGGTTTCAATATTGCTTTGTATTATACAGTTACACAACTGTTAAAAATGCAAACGAGAATTAAGAAAGTCAACTTCAGATTCCCATCTGCCATTACAAAAAACTTTGCTAATAGTGGTTCCAATTTAAACTTTTTTCACCAAAAGGATTCACAAAGATTTTTGTTGTGCTTTAGTCAGAACCTAACTGAAGTTGCTATAGCAGAAAGTATATTGAAAGGAATTGTAATGGGCAAACATCTGCCATCTGAAAACAGTTTTCTCAGGTTTTCTAGATTAAAAAAACCTTAAATCCAAGGGTGTTAAGATGCTAAACTACAAATATAATATTCTATATGTGTCTTTGCACACAGAAACAAACATATATCAGAACAAAACCCATGCAGTTGCACATATGGTATCTTCCCCTAGATTGCCAATATAAAAATGTAGCAAAGCAACACGGAAAGAAAAGTTTAAAAAAAACCAAAAAGAGCCAAGAAGCCCAGTAACAATACAAACCATAGCAAGTGTTTATGTCTCTACTTTTCCACCACAGGAGCTTCAAACATAACTGCCAAGAACCCATAATTCCACTGCAGCTATTTTCCATTTTAAGTAAACCAAGATCAGCCTGTCATCTCTTGTACAATATGGCAGCATCTGAACATGCTATTCAGTAGTATTTCAATAAAGACTAAATTAGAAATAATTTACAGCTAGAAAACTTAAGTACTATCCAGAGGATACTGATGGTATAAAACCATGAATAGTGAATTGCAGTTTATGAAAGCAACAGAGCACCTCTTCCACGTTCTTGTTTTTTCACCCCATTCTTCTTCCTTTTATTAATTTCTACCTTTGTGAAGGCACATACTCACAAAGCAACCTATGGACCTATGTAATCCCTCCAATCACAGGGAGAGGATTCTTCCCAAGACACATGTGTATAGTCAGCTTTCTCTATTAACTTCTGCACTGAAAATATGGCAGTAAACCAAGCAACATAGGTAATTTTTTTTCACTGGATTTGGTGTTGCCTATGCCAGGTATAAAGCAAAATAGCTCCAATGACTTAAAGAAAGGGATCAGCTTTTTTTTGGTTTTGATATACAGCTTAATCTTCCTTTCGCTCTAGAAAAAGCAAATGAAGCCACAGTAGCTTACTGCATCCTGCAACTAAACATGCAAATAAGCCAAAAAAAACCCCCCACAACACACACCTAGAACATTTAAATGGAAAGCTGTTAGTCAGTAACTCAAACTCAGATATTTGAACTTAAAAACAAATGCTATTTTGCAACACAACATTGGTAATATTTTAAATAAAAAAAAAAAATACAATTTGATTTGAAGAACATCAACAAAACCATAGCTGTATCAATACAGAACACAATTTAATTTGTTTTGAAATAAATATTTGACATACAAAGCACATACAGTGAAAAAGGGTCACAATAAATTACAAATGGAGATACTTGCTCATTCACTGAGAAAAGCCCTTGGTATTTCCAATTTTATACCATCAAATTTATCATTCTTGCTGATTTAAGCACACCACTAAACAAATATGGATCCCTGTGCTTTCTTTCACAGGTACTGGCATGGATAATTTACTGCAGTGATCCAATTTGAAAATCAGTAGGGACCAGTAAATCGCTGCATAAAAGAAAGAGCGAATGAGGTGCTTTTTCCTTAGTGTCAGCAGCCTGCGATTACTGTTTATTAGATTTTCTTGAAAGGACTTCACATTTTCTCAAATATGCAGGAGAACTATATTTCCCCTCTGAGCCCTTACATTAGCATTTTATGCCTCAGTCCTTGAATACAAGTAAAAGATGAATTTTTCAATTCATTTTAGAAGTTTGTACCATCTGGATGGCACAGAACTAAGCAATGAAACTTTCTTACCTGCACAGTATCTGCTATTATCACAGAGCTGGCTTCTGCAGAAGAGTTAATAAGTAAAGCTGACATTTTATGAAAAAGATTTTTGAATCCACATTTAAGATTAAATTCAATTACACCATCCATACTGATAATGAACCTTTGAAATAAAGGATTGCTTAAGGTTCTGTCCTTAAAAGGACATTTAAAACAGCAAGGCCCTGACTATTCCTGTGATTTTAAGAAAATTATAGCACTAGAAAAGTTACAGTACAAAGATAAACTATATATACCAAAATTAGTGTAACCAAATACTTGCACTGAAGCAATTTTAAATTAGTTTCAAGAGATCAGCATACTCTACTAAATCTAGCATGTAAGTGCTTGCAATCTTTTTCTGTTGTATTATTTTTTCTCACCAAAAAGATGATGATACCAGGGGCCATACCTAGCTCTTGCACATGGGAATTGATTTTGACACTGTTTTAAAAGAACATGCTGTTCTAGCTCAATAGTCTTTGCTACCCTTAATCTGAGCACTGTAAGGTACAGTACTTTATGAAACTGTTTAAGCAGCAGTATCTTTTTGGAAAGAGGACCAAGTAGTCATAGCTGGTATAAAACAAGTCAGTTCCCCCTGATGTTTGTCCAACTCTTTTTTTCTATTTCCTGCTCTGCCAGAGCTCTTGCATCGCCTCAGACAAGTGGTCTTTCCTTCCATGCCTCAGTTCCTATCTGCAAAAAGGACAAGAACTGCGCTTCCTCAATTAACAAGGGATCTGTACAGCAAATGTTGCAATACGGGTGCCGAACAATAAAAAGGTTCAACACAGACAGTACAAAATAACCAGCTACATTATTTGCTAGACAGTACTATCAAATATATAGTTAGCAACTAAAAAAAACTGTTGGAACAAATAGTGGCTCATGATTATAATCCGTAACAAAATATTAATGGATATTGCTCCCCTTGAACATCCATCAAGAAGAGCGCAAAACATAAAATTGACAGCACAAAAGTGACAATGAAAGTATAACATTCAAGACAATAAAGGAAAGGACATGCATTAGAAAATTACTTTGTGTGTAAGAAATCCCAACTGGCATCAGCTTCTCCAACAGACCCAGTAGGTCCTAATGCTTTATTCATCTACAGGTGAGAACAGTCAAGTCTTATGCTGGACCACTTCTACAGCAAACTTGTGCACAGCAAGGGGCAGGTCTACCCACAGAATCTATGCAACAGCACATCAACTTATGAAAGCTAAAATAATAAAAACAATAACCAGCATGATTTATACCAGTGGAAACAATGACCACATCAGGTAAACAGTAGGACAAAAACTTTTCTGCTTCACATTTGGGATTGACAGGCATTTTAAACAGTTGCAAAAATTTCTCTTAACACAGACTTCTGTTACAGTCTCTGCATCACACCTAGCTGTTGAAAACACAGCAGCACAAACACACAGGTCTTTTCACCAGCAAAATCTCAAATTATTAGGACACAACCAGCATTTCACATATTTAATTTAATTGTTAGTACAGAAACCATCACAAAGTGTGGTAAGAAAGCACAGAATATTTTTGCCAGCACTGAGGAAACTCAGTATTATCACTTAGGCAGCCTAAAGGCTGCAGTAAAAATTGAAGTTGATGCACACTGCAGGTCAGCTGCCCTATTTATTCTACTTGGAAGTTATTCTTACCTCATTGTTCCACATTTTCTTGGCACGTCAGAGAAGTTTTACCAGGCCATAAGCAAAATCCAGGTCTCATTTGTTAAGCAACTCCTTGCAAAGCCAAGAATACACTACTAGCCAAATCAAATCAAATCCCATTTCTGAAACATCTTCCTCCACTTGATCCATTTTTAAGACTTAATAGGAAGAGTTAACAAGAAATTCAGCATTCACATATAAGCTCTACTTCATGACACTGTCTTCCAACTCTCCTACTGAAATTTCACTCTCTTATTCCTTTTAATCTTCCTCATCCACTCAGAGTCAAATCTCAAGACTTGCATCCTACAGTTACAGTTGCAATCAGATCCAATTTAAGCTCCTCTCTAATTTAATAACAGCATAAAATTAAAGGAACACTAGACTGCCCACATAACAGCAGTCTTGGAGCACAAAAATTTTCTCAGAAGTAACACAGCATTTTGCTTACAGTAATTACAGAAGTATTCATTTGTCTTCCACTCCCAGTATGGAGAACCAACTTAGATGACCAAATTAGTTTTTAAATCAGTGGTGCAAAAAGCTGAACAGTCTGATGTCACCACTCAAAAAGTATACCATGTAACATGAAAGAGGATCTAGTATAGTGCTGAAGAACTTAAATGGTAGTAAGTAGGTCTAGATTTCTGCTCTGCTTAGATACCATTATTGCAGTGCTTATTCTCGGGTAAAGTATTGAAGGAAAGGGTCATAAATTATTGCACTTTAGAAGGCAATAGTTCAGAAATGCACAAGACATTATGTCCCCATTAAGAAGCAGCAGTGGGGAACAGAAGAACATGCACACATACACACAAAGACAGCATTCTGCTCAACTTCCAGGTTCAAGCATCAGTACATTGTTAGAGAAAATAAGCTTGAAGAGCCTAGCAAATTACATTTAACACTCCTTTTATTGCAGTAGAAATTTTAGTTTTTATAAAATCCTCAAATTACAGGATATACATATAGTGAATCTTGTTGCAAGTCTTTAGCAGCTGTAGAGCATTACTGCATGCAGTTGCTTCTGCAGTGTGCAAATATTCTATGAATAGCTAATCATGTTCAGAGAGCAAGACAAGTAGTCAAAGAATATTCAATCACCTATTGGTTCATAAATACCAAGAGGTTGAGCAAAAAATGAAATAAGTTTATAAACACATGGTTCTGATCTAACAAACTAATACAACTGGGAAGTCTGAATGATATTCACATCACAGACAGGATAACTCAATAGTTACAGGAAAATACTTTGCTTCAAGACTGCTTTCAGAAGTGTTTCATGTAAGATTTCTCTGGCCAGGGAGTAGTTAAGTACAGTGCTACACAAGTTTACAAAAAGCCAATGAAACCCATTTAATTTTATGCAATTAGAATACTAACTACAGAAGATCAGGCAAACACTTTGCCTTGAATTTATGGAAAAAAGTTGTGTTCAGACAGACAGTATTTTTTTCCACGACCTACCCTTCAGCTGCTGGGTGAATGCATAATCACTCTATTTAATATTCACTTCTGTAGTCACGACACTGACTTCAGATCAATCAGATGAATTTATGCCAAAAATTCTACACCCATTTGTTTCAGAAGCTGTCTAAACAGGTGTAATCCTTTATGCAAATTTCCCATCACAAAAAGTCTCAGAAACTGGAAGAACAATTTATACAGAGCTAACTACAGATTAATTTTCTATAAAGCTGACATGCTTGAATTACTGCAGTCTCACATTTGTGTAGACACAAGAACCAACCTGCAATGATTCTGCAAAAGTTACTTTGTTTACATTGATTAGTTCACTTAAGGGATGGTTGAAAGTTTAAGCAGTGCATCTTAGTCTGAAAAACCTACAAGTCAGCAATTTGGCTTGGTAAAACATCTTGTTATGACAAGATAACTGCACAGAGTTTTCCGTGATCAGAGTCTTGATATTTCTTCCAACAATGTAATGTAAGACTGTGTCCCAAGGTAGAAACTCGGAATAGATCTTTTTAAGCAGTATTAATAAAAATAGCCTCTCCTTCAGAAAAGGTGTTAACTATGTCAGCTTGATAGATTTTAGTCCCTTTTGTTAAATTCAGAGGGCTGTATTTTTACATTGAGTAATTTAGACAAAATGGTTCTACAGATACATTTAGTAAGCAGAAGAATACTGTCCAAAGTGTACTGCATAGGTATGTGTACCAACTACTATCCACTGGAAACATCGTACAGTAGCTATAGTTCCAACTAGCGTAAGCCAGCTGAGCACAGACAAAGTTTTAATCAACCTCAAACAATCCTTGGTTCATAGAAAAATAATTCCATATGACTGGGCATGTTTTGGATAGGATGCAGCTATTTTTTTTTTTTCACCAATTATCGATACAGCACAGTAATTTTAAGTTTCCATGACTTGCTTTTGATATGCTAAATTTTGTATTATCTCCAAGAAAAGCATATACACATTTTTACACAGCCTGGAGTGAGATCAGTGTAAAACCAGGAATTTATCAGCAGCAGCAGAAGTGCCAGCTGCTCATAATGTTCACAAAACACAAGTGCCTGAAATCTGGCTATGCAACAGTTGGTGCCAATCTGCTTATAAAGGAAATGCTGCTGAGGCATAGTCTTCTTACAAAAACAGGGCATGAGGGCTTCATTATTAAATGTTCAACAACAATCCTCAGCTCAGTGAAGAGAGTCCTGAAAAATCAAATATAAAGAGAGTTTTAAAATTCTACAGCATTTATCAGAAATATCATCTATAACATTTTCATTCACTTAACACCCCACACACTCTAGTTAACAAGTTCTTTAGATCAACTCAGTGTTGCAATATCTTGCAAGAGCTTCAGAATTCTTGTCTTTTAAAGATTAACATTTTAATTAGCTTTAGTTCAGCAGCTTCCAGCTGAATAAAGACAGCAGATAAAGTCCACCTTCAAGAAAAAAAAAACTATAAAGAAAAAAGAAAGAGTAATGCTTTATCAGAAACAGTGTAAGGAGCTGGGAGGTAATTGTCCGTTTGCACTGCTTCTTGCCAGAATGCAAGAACCCTGCACTCTAGAAGCAACTATTAGCAGACAGACATGAAAAACAAAACCAAAGCAGTTTCCCTTAAAACTACATAAATGCGAGCAAAACATCTTGGATAAACTACTTCTATTGAAGGTTAGTTTTAGTATTGCACAACTCAAAAATATTTTAAGATACCAAAGTAGTAAAGCACCTTCATGGATTTTTTTTTTTTGGTTAAAAAAACACATGTACCAAGATGGAGCAATTGATTTCTAGCATTAAGTCTATGATTCTCAGACCTGTCTTTGCATACCATGGCAGCCAAACCCACTTCCTTGGTATTTCTGCAAACCATTTTCTGATTGAGCAGTGATCAGATGGAAAACTATGTTCACAAAATCTTACACTATCCAAACACTTATCATAGGAAGAGTTCTGAGGAAGCACTAACCTGAGCAAATCCTCATAGAAATATTTATGGTTTCAAAGTTTAAAGTAATAGTATTGGCTCAACTTTCAAATAAAATCAATAAGGTTCTGTTTCAATTATAATTAACCTGACTTACAAATCTAACTAAAGGAGATAATGAACATGTTTAATATCATCCACAGGTTTTTTTTAATCTGTCAACATTCCACAAGTTCACAAGTGTCTGTTCATGTGGAAACATAGCCTCAGCCAGACCTGGAATCTAAAAATAAGGGTATTGTTCTGGTAAACTGTTGCAGAACAATTAAGATTTCTTTCTCCCAAAGCACAGTTTCAGTTGCACAAGCCTGTTCTAAAAGTTCCCATTAAAGGATAGTGGTACATTTCAGAAAATTTCAGTTACATGGAATAAATCTAACCTTGAATCAGCTGTTTTTTAGCATCCAGGTGTACTCCACATTCTATAATTATCATTTGCAGACTTAGTATTATGAGTTATACATTCATTTCAGAATGAAAGATTTCTGAATGCCTAGACACCATACAGTTAAACATTAGCTTCTGAAATCAATTTAGTGCTTACCGACAGTATGGATTTCGCCGAGAGGAGTAGCGTAATGTAAGAAATCTATAGTAAATGAATGGCTGGAGCAGGCTCCCTTGCCCACTGAAAGAACAGAAAGTAAGAGTTTAATACCAAATAACAAAAAAACCCAGGAATATTCCTAGTAAGAGCAAGCAAACTACTTAGGCACAAAAGAAACTAGATTGCAGTCATACTGGTTCAGATAATCTAGATCTGACAAGTACACAACCATACACTTACAAAAGTAGAAACTCACCTTATAGAATAAAACTACTCAATGATGCAGTTAAAGAAGTGCTGTTCTTGTACTGATTTTATATTTATGCAGGTTTTTTTACATGCCTCATTTCTAGTGGTAGGCAAAGAATCACAGAAGTGACAGTGAACACCTGTTCAGCATTACAGAAAAGCTTGCTGGTCAAGCACAGAAATTGGCTGACGTAAAAAGTCTAGTTACAGCAAGCTTTTTCAGTTCTAATTGTAGCACTCTGAATAGCTGGACCATATTTCTAGTATCTTTCCCAAGACTTCTCACACTGTAGACTATTACAGATGTATTGAGACAATAATGCCAAGCTAATAACTGACTATTCCAGTCACAATGAAATTGGGTTTTGATACTTTACAAAGCTGCTGTTTCACATGATGGTGCTAATATAGTGAAAGGGTAGCATATAAGCCATACATAGCAAAGCACAGAAGAAATTAGTTTAAAGACTGAAGCTTCTTTATACAACACAAAAAGCTCTGTGTGAAGCTGAATGTAACAGTTCCAGTAACTAGACCTCCTTCAAGTATGAGCACTATCTTTACCCAGAAGCAAAAATATGAAGTGAAAAGGAAAGTAAGCTACAGGAGGGGGAAAAAAAGGAAAACTTGCACCTGTGCAACAGTATTTACAAGCAATTTAATATGCTAAAACAGTTTAAAGAACAAATTCTCACAGTAGCTGTGTTTAACTATTATACAATTTTAAAATTTGGTATGTGATCTTTTATAAGCTTTCGTATCTACTAGATGACATATGAAGCAGCAACACTTCACATACTGAATTCTCCAGAGAGAGGGGGGAAAAAAGTTTTCCTAAAGAGAAGTTTAAAGCACTTCGAGTTTCAGATAACTTGATACAGAGTGTGTCTGTCAGTTGGTAGGTAGCCTTAAATGAAGTGGAATCCTTCAGGGCTGGAGCACTGAAGTGTTCAGCTGACATATCAAAAGATAAAAACAAATTACACATTCTATCAGCTTCCCGGAAGATAAGCTGCCTGTGAGTTCACTCAATACAAATGCTCTCACTGTGCTATGACCTGTATAGAGCAAAGGGCGTTATTCACCCTCCAAATATTAAAAGGCAAGGACCCAAACTTCAGTGACAGGCAGGTCATTATGCCTGTATAACTTCAGTAGGATTTCAATATGCATATGCTCAAGACCCCTAAAATGAATTCAACAGGCTGCACAGCAGGCAAAGCCAAAGAATCAAAAAAGAGCCAAGGGTCACTGGGCAGAAGTAACACAGTAACAACATAACCTACTCCTGCTTGCACACTTTTGGCACAATGAAATTTCACGCCACTTAAATTTCTGCAACCTAATATTCAAAATAAGAGTTCACTTCCAATGAAGCTGAAGATCTTAATATTCTGTTACACTGACCAAAATTAAACTTACAGAACAGTGTAAAAGAACACGTCACAGACCTGAAAAAAACCTTTGATTTGACCTAAAAACATCACCCATGGTATGAGAGGGTTTTTTGATGCTCTGTTCTATCAGAGTGAATGTTTTTTTGATTTCATGATGTACCAACTTGAGAAGTCTAGAAATCAAATAAATTTAATTCTAAGTTCAAAACTCGGTCAACCAGAACCATACAAATGGAGATCTGTGACCCACAGAGAACTCAACTGCAAAAAGTAATCCTGTGTAAAAGGTTTCTAATTCTGAAAGTATTTATTGTCATTCTTACCTGAAGAGCATGAAAACTGTAGCTGGCATCAGGAAAATTTCATTGCAAGCAATGAATTTTAGAATATTCTGTTGATTGGCATTCAGTTTCTCTAACAGATTTCTCAGAAAGGGCAGGCTATTTGAACTTCGTGCCTTTAAAGAAGAAAAAGAGATCACCAAAAAACACAGAAGTTACACCTGTCTTCTCTAGCACAAAGAAATCAAAACACCAACAATTATGATTTACAACTAGTTTCAGAATTTTAAGACTAGATCCTTTAAAGGTATTGAGATTAGTATCCCAAAGAAAAATATTGGAAGCCTGAAACTCCGTAACTACAGAGAATTCAATCAAAACCATAAAGCATTGCAATTCCCTTGCTCACCCATATTAGGTTCAACTACAGAGAGATGGCCACAAGCCTTATCCTGTCCTCTAGGAGGAAGTACCTATGGTAGCATGACAGCCCAGTTAGGAACACCAAAGGCTGGAGTTACATTAAGCCACACAAGGCAGTTCAGAGAATCATCTAGGTTGGAAAAGACCTTGAAGATCATCCAGCCCAACCATTAACCTAACACTGACAGTTCCCAACTACACCATATCCCTCAGTGCTGTATCAATGTGACTCTTAAACACCTCCAGGGATGGGGACTTCACTACCCCCCTGCACAGCCCATTCCAACGCCTAAGAACCCATTTTGTAAATAAATACTTCCTAATCCAGTTCACTGAGCAGCAGGTCCAACTGGCAATTATTTTGCTTGGTAGCCTTACCCTGCAGTCTGTTATTCTGCCACTGAAATAGAACATTAAGTTTCACAGGCTATGGTTTAGCTTGAAAAAGACATCTTAAGTTTCAGCTGTTACATAGCATTTGCTTCCTTCAAAGGAGAGCATTTGAAGAAAATGTCAGCTCCAACATATCACTGAGTCATAACAGAAGGGGGGGAAAAAACCCAAAACCACCCAATAAAAAAAAAACAAACCAACGACTTCTCAGATTCTCTGTGCTGAGATTCCATACTACAGTTTCACTCTAACTCCTCTAGTGTAGCTAAAGGAAAACACAGCTGTAATTCAAACCTGTTATAAACCCCCAAGAGTACCAACAGTATTAATCATATCATACTTACATCAAGAACCTTCTTTGTATATGTGGCAGCATGAAGCAAAGAGAATAGCAGAACTGGAAAAATACTCACTGAAGCAAGCGATAAGGAAAATTACAGGCTGCACAAGTGCTTCATTTCTCTGTGATGTTATGCTAACACACAAGTCAGCTTGACAGTTCTTTGCAAGAGGCTGGCTGGAATGACCTATACTGATTAAGACATGTATAGGTCTAACATCTATATTAACAGCTCTTCCCTTCTCTTACACATCTTCCGTAAACATTTTTATTAACTTCAAAATGTGTATGCATAAGTACAACGTACACCATTACACAGCAATGCACTTCTACTGAAATACATTCTTTCTGCATGAGACACACATGAGGCTACCTCTTAAATTACGATCTATCAAACATATGTAGTCATAATATTTTTTAATCAAGATGCAAAAAATGCATTTCTTTACCAAAGAACATGCAGTTGCCAGCCATTCAGATTTTAGAGAGCAAGAACATAGACATTCCTCTGCCAGAGGCATTTTAAGAGTAGGACATGAAGCATACATGTGGCACGAAGAAAAGTCAGCTCTTACATATCACCCTTGACAAGTCAGAGTAAGCCTTTTTTGCAGACATTATCTGTTTAATAACTTACCTGAAAAAGCTACTCTGAATAATTGTGTCTCTACATGATGTATGTCCTAGTTCCAGTGAGAGGTCATATATAAGCCTTATACTGGTAATAAATTAAAAGTTACCAACTTCTCTCAAAGTATCACTTGAGGATAGTCATAAAATCCACTGAAGTTTCAGGGGAAAAAAAATGTAAGTAGCCAGAAAGTGCAGTGCACTAGTTACAGAGGTGATTAATCTGAATATGAATCAATCAACATAAGTGTCTCCTGTTTTACATAGGGCATGCTCTATGAATAGCAAACCTATTCTAGTTTAAACTAGTTTTTCAAAACAGGACATGTGATGAAAAGTTTTTAAGATCTTTATAAACATTACCAGGATGACACAAGTAAAGGATACTTGTAACAGGGTAGGAATTCACAAAGATAAGAGAGTACAACAGGTAGTGGCAGCTGTCCTCCAGCAAAGCCTGGGCCAGAAACGCCCTGCTAAGCTGAAAGTGCGGTAGCCTTTGGTGTAGTCGGAGGGCACTAGTAAGAGCATTTGCCAGCAAGGCACGCTGATAAAAGCTTGCTGCTTCATGCAACCTGCAAATCATCAGAGGAGACGTTACCATAGGAACCAAGTCCCTGCTGAGAAGTCTTCCACCCTTGACAATTGCATCACAACTGCACAATAAAGTATTTCTATTATCATACATAAGCCCTATCACCAAAACACAGTTCAAAAACTGGTAACACCAACTTAATGAAGGCAACAAAGGTAAAACAACTCATTATATTTCTCCGTAGCTACACATAAAAACATGCATTTGCCACTGCTTTACAGTTGCTTGATGCATTTTCCAAACACATCTACAAGTGTTTTAAACCAGTCTAAAATCTGTAAACTGTTCTGACAAAAAACATCCAAGCAAGCTGAGTAACAGAAGTTTAACCTTACATGAAAAACAACTCCATGAAACTGAAGTGTAGTTACTTTGTAAATTTTTAATGCCATTTCACAATATTACAATACATACCCTAGAAGAGGCAGGACAAATAGAGCTGAGCAGTAAACTGTGAACAAGCGGGAAATCCACATTGCTGTATCCAACTTGTTAGCCATCAGAAATTGCTACATTAGAAAAAGAAAAAACCCAACCCCCACAGAAGTTGGTATCTTAATATTTGCATACAATATTCTTCCCTTCGATATGAAATTACAAGTCTTTCTCCTGCCTTGAATAGAAGTAAATACCACCTTTTTGTGCCATGATAACTTACGTGATGGCACTAACAACATGAAAAATAGCTAGGCTTCCTCAGAACCAAAAGGCTCCTTTGTACACTGCAACTAGATGCAGCAGTAAAATCTTCTGTGGAGGTAGTTCTTCTATACAAACCAATCACACTAAATAGTCAGCTTCAAATATATTATAATGCAAGGTCTTTAGACCTGACTGACTTTTGCATCTATTGCTTTGAGGTTCCTTTTAGAATACACTGCACACATCTGGAGCTAAACCTCCCCAATTTTTACTGAGGGGAAAAGAAGAGGAGGTCAGGTAAAGTTAGCATAAATACATCAAAAGAAAGATGGCATCATAGAGGCCTACTGTTCATGGCCTCAAAAAAGCAAAAAGCTTTTAACGTTAATGCAGCACCTCTCCTGTCGTTGGGCTCTCCTTAACCACTGTCCCACTGTCCTCCTCCTGAAACACAGCATGCTTTTGGCTATTAGGTTCTTAAGAGTAATCAGCTTCCTTTAACCTAAAAAAGCTCAAGATTTTTTTCTGAATTTGAACCAGCTTTTGAAGACTGCTCTTTCCTCTGTGTTCCTAGACCCTTCTTATGAAAGGGACCAGAAAACAACCTAACTAACCTGCAAGCATCTTCATATCATAGAACTGCAGACAACATATAGCTGCTGCCACACGGAATTATCTTTAATTGAGACATTTTCCAAGAACGACGGTGCAGCAACAGAACATTTTCAATCAGAAATTGAAAGAGTCACTTCCCCGTACTCGGGCGAGCAGTCGGCCATACTGCCGTTCCAGCAGGACCCTCCCAGCAACACATGCGGCGCCCGCGTTGCCGAAGAAGCACCGTGGCCGGCCCAGGACCCTCACGCTCCCGCCCGCCCCACGGCCTGGGGCTCCTTACCACGGCTCCGCCGCCGGCCCCGCCTGGCATGGGCCCATTCTGCGTGGAGTCCGCCATGGCCAACCTGCGGGGAGAGAAGCGCCTCAGCTAGAGCAGGGATGACCACAGCCGCTGCCCCCCGAGTTCCCGAGGGGGCCGCCCGCGACCCACCGCAAGCACCACAAACGGCAAACCAGCACCGCCGCGCGCCCGCCGGATGCGGCCAAACGTCACTTCCGGGGGCCCCGAGGCCTGCCGGGTAATGTAGGCCCAGCGACGCGACACTCCCGACCGCACCTGGTGACGTCACGAGGCCTTTCCGGGGAGCGGCAGCTCCTTGTGTTTGGGAAGGCGCCTGCTCGTCAGGGATTGTTGAGGGGGAGACTCGCCTCTTTCTCCGCCACAGCCCCCTGGTGCGGCGTCTTGCCAGCCTCCGGGGTCCTTCTGCCCACAGCAGGCCCAACCTCTGCGGCTCAGCTCGCCCTGTAGGGTCTGCACAGGGATACTTCTGTGTTGTGACAGTAACAGCAGCAGCATTAGCGTGCGCTTCGGCACTGCTCCGGGGAGTGCTTTGCGCACCGAGACCCAAACAGGCTTTCCAGAGCCATTTAGCGAGATACTGTCTTAGTGCTGTGCGTCGGCAATGTAAACAGGAATCATAAAGTCCCAGGTCCACAGCTGGGGACTCTCTGGTTCTTTGATGGAGTGGTAGCACCATGATGTCACACAAAAATGATGCAGTGCACAAATATCATGCCACCTTAGGCTGTGTTCACATATTTCATTATTATTGGTTCCATGTAATGTAAAAAGGAAAAAAAAAAAGCGCCTCTTCAAATCTGTGTGTGCCCAAACATTCATACTGTGAGTGGTATTACATTAAAATTCAGCAGCTTTGAAATACTTTTCTAAAATCTTTGGTCAAATAATGGTTAAACAAAGATAAGGACCTTTAATCAAGCACAGGTACAATGTTGACAGGAGAACCAAGCTGGATAGTGCAAAGCGGAAGCCTCCTGCTAGCTCTGCCACATGTAGCATATGCCATAAACAAGGTCTTGGAAAGGGTTAATCCTCTCTTCATTAATCTGACCCTTGTCTTAATATCGATTTTGGTTTTTAATTGTGTGTGCCAGATAGCCATGCAAACATGTTTCTGTGCTCAGCTGCAACTCTGTAAGTATAACTCGGCTACAGTGGTATCAAAGTAAAAGAAAACAAAGTGCAGGCCTCAAGACTGACACCTTTGACTTTTCTGAGGCTACTATAGTCTCGTGATTTGTACGCCTGGGTTTCCCACGGATGTGCAGCAGGTTCCCCCTTCTGGCAGCGTGGGGTCCAGGACAGCAAGCAATCTGGTCCAGTTTCTAATCATTCCCAGATGCTTTTGATTACTCTTCAGCAGCAAAAAGGGGTATTTTTGTGACCAAGGATGTTGGAATCAACATTCAGTCAGCCTCATTTCTGGGTTATGATGATTGTGATGGATGGTACACTGTTTGTTCATCAAAATCAGTGAAAAGACAATGGAAAGGTGAACTGACATATGAACTATTGCACATTATATAAAACTAACAGCAAGTGCTTAACTGAACTAACATGATAAAACGATATTGTGTAAAAGAGTGAAAGAAAGGGGGAGGGAGGGCAACAAGAGAGAGAAGTGTCTGTACTTTATAAAGCATGAACAAGGACGTCCATAAATCTCCTTACTCAAGACCAGTAACGAGCCTAGACTGATAAGAGCACTGCAAGCTTGTAAAATCATCACATTCCAGGTGAAGGGTGAAAAGTACACTGTGAGGAGGACCTACGGCCTTCCTCTTGAAGACCACCGCCCATGATTTGAAGACCCTGGCCTGTAATTTTCAGCAGCATCTGTGCAAGTGTAAAGGACTGATAAGCTAATTACCGTACGAAGTGGGAGTAGGCGGGTTTAGGTAATGTATATGTATAGGCATATAATGAATATACAATGCTTTGTAGTATAAAATTAAGACAAAATTCCTTGAGAGATGCGGGCCGTTGGAGCAGGAGACTCCCCAGCCACCCAGCGCTGTTTTGCTTGTTGCCGCTTGTTAAATAAAGAAATTGGAAACTCTGACTCAGCCAATTTTAAGAAGTCAGTTTATAACAATGATTAAACTGGGAGATTGATTGGAAGAGACTCAGGAAGACATCAGTGGAATGTGTAATTAAGTATGTTGACAGGGAAGAAGCAAAAGAGTCAGCTGATAGGGATTCTAATACGGTACAATTACAAGTAAACTAAGGCTTTAGGCTAATTAACCCTTTCTAAATTGAAGATGCAGAACCTGATTTTCCACTTCTTTCTCCAACCACTCATCTCTTGCTAAAGTGGCTGTGAAGTAGGTACAAGAACTACCTGCTATTTTGGAACCATGTTTCTACAGATGGCGGCTCTAGTAAATAGCACTAGAGAATTAGGACTCTCGGCGTGTCTGCTGGGTGTTCTCAAATGTATAATAAAAAGACTGACAAACATTTATGCTAAACAAAAATTAAGGCTTTGAATATAGCCCCAGTAAATTAACCATTACCAGGCTGTTCTATTACAAAAGAAAATATTAATATATCCAAGAGATTTATTTAGATGCAACTGAAATGTGGAAATACACATAGAAGGCCACCAGATGTTTAAGGCTGCCAAACTGAAATGTCACAAAGGGAAAAGACTGATCAATCTTCAAGTTTATGTATTTCTTAAATGGACCAAGGAAGACAAATCCATGTATGTATGAGGAATGCTTGTTTATCTCTTAGCATCTGTAGTTTAGGAAGGACTGAACACACACACACATGCAAAGGATTCATTTCTAGAGTCTGATTTGCTGTCAGTCATAACACTAAAGTTTGTATTTTCTTTTAGCAAAAGTTGCCTTTTGTCTAAGGCCTAAGATTGGCCTTAATTTCATTTAAATAGAATTACAAACAAATTGTTTGTTCCCAGAAGTTAATGGCTTCAAAAATGCAATACATTTGGAAAACTTAATAAGGAATATCACACTTGGCTAAGGAGTCCTCTTTGGTTTATATCCATTTTTCTTTCCCAAGCTTTCCCCTTCACTTTTGTTCTGCATCTGTGGTCAATTCTTGTTTAATATAGTCTCTCCTGTTGAGCAATGCAAACCACAGTATTGGTCATTTAACTTGAGAGAAGATGTTAGATTATATGTTGAGAAGTCAAGTGTCAGCTATTGGCTTCTCCCTTTCCCAATTCTCCTCTGCTGTAATATTGCTGATTGAGCAGAGAGGAGGAGCAGGAATTGATTCTTGTGTTATTAATGATTTGGTTTCTAACAGTTGTAAGGGGATTCTTCCGGACCATCGAGGCACCAATTTGCTTTCATTGATGATTGATAGTTCAGATATTTAGAAGAGTATCACTGTAATTGCTGAGGACTCATATACCTCATTAGCAGTATAGTCCCATTTCTCCTCTGTGGCAGTCCAACATGATCAGCACAGACATATCTAAAATTGTAACTAAGGTATTTCTCTGTTTCCCCCCAGTAAATTTATAAGCCAATCAGAGAATTATTGGCAGTAATGATACCTGGGGTCAGCTCTCTCTTAATTTAAAAAATTATGGATGCAAAGGGATATATTTTGACCTTTTGAGCCCAGACATATAGACCTACCTCCACTAGCCCACTTTGAAGTCTCAGGAAAAACAAACAAACAAACAAACAAACAAAAAGCCTAAGTATGTCTGTTAAATATATTTTAGAAATATATGAAAGAAAATATGCAATGTTTTGCATTTGTTTAGCTTCAGCTGAGACTCTCCAGACACAGTGCAAGTTTACTTATGCCTCACAACATCACTATTGGTTAGATGTTCAATGATCTTTGGTCAAAAAGGTTAGTAATTTGCTTGTAGGCACCTGAGCAGTAGCACAGCTGGGCTGGAAATGGAATCCACAACTCCTGAGTCTCCACTGCCACTTTCCTTCTTAGTCACTGTGTGTTTTCAGATGAAATCATATGCAAAACTCCGTATGTAATTTGAAGCCAGTTTGAATATGCGAAGAAGGAGGAGGCTTTTGTGGTGTTAAATTAATTACTGAGAACTGGAAATATTTTATAGACAACAATTATTATTAAATAAATTTTGACATCCATAATAAATATTTTATATAACCATTTTTTATATAACCATTATATTTTATATAACCATATTTTGCATTACAGATTGGTTTAAATATTTTTTTATTGTTTTTTTAATAGCATCACCATCAGAAGCATGCAATCTTATGTGGTTTCCAGTGGCCTCAGTTCTGAATCATTTTAACAGAAGCTGATATAGCATTGCTTAGGGGGCGTTCACCACCTTGCAGCATGGAGCACTTGAGGTTCAGATAATGATTTATCTATTTTGTCTTCCTTGATTTGAAAGAAGGTACTGTTGCTAACATCTGTATACAGTTTTCATTTATTTCGAATAAAAGAGAGAACATTCCTCCAAGGTCGATAGGATTGCAGTTCTTCATAGCCAAACTAGCTCCATTATTTGTATCAGTAGTGTATAACGCAAGGCTAAAATAAGTTTTTATGCAAAGTTGTAATGAACAATTTGGTTCTTGTTTGTGGTTATCTCAAGCTGGCTGTCCAAATCTCAAGAAACAATAAAGGACATCGGGTCAATGCCTGTTACATTTTTCAGAAAAAGAAACAGAAGTCTTCTGTCTCTCCCTACCAGATTACTTTGTGATTTTTGCTCGATGGTCTTTAGCAATATCAAACATGGTCTTCTTTCTTTTCCCTCACAGCTGGAGTTTCCATTTACTCACCCTTCCTGGAAGGGTTACCCTTTTAATCACGAGTGCCTTCCAAAAGAGTGAAAAAGAGAAATCACAACCTTCTTAAAGATGTGAAAAATAGGAAGATATTCCTTCCAGTTGTTTTCTGTGTCAACATTTTCATAACTTTCAGCATTTTCATATATCCCTTTGTTATTAAGATATGTGACACAGAACCTGCAAGTGTAAGCTTAAGATGGTACAAAGAACTATAATAAATTCATATAAATATTTTTAAAGATTGGAGGTATGGCACAAGGCTTGGCGTGTGATTGAATTAGAAAGCAGCTTTACCAGTGTATTTTATCTGCAATGTCCAACCCACTAAGGACATGAAAA